CAACTCATGGCAGAAGCTGTATAGATGGAAGCCACAGTTGAACTGGCCTGGTCACGGAAGAACCAGAGTATCATCTGGGTATGATAACCTTGGGGAAAAAAGTGCATTTTCTGTCTGAATGAGAGGTGAACAAATTCCTGATTGGAGTTCTCTATAGACTGAACATATTGCACACACATTTAGCTTTCCTGTGCTGATACATAAGTTCCAGAGGCTGTGAGGCTGCTTCTGCTCACAAGGATGTGTATGTCACTTGCCACTGCTTGATGACAAAGACAGTTGTTATGCTGTCTGACTTCACAAAGACACACTGAGCACAGATGAATGCAAAAAAAGACTTTCCTTTCTTCCAGACTACTTGCAATTCTGAGATAATGATGTGCATCTTGCACTCCTGAGATGCCCAGACACCTTGTGCATATTGCTATTCATGTGGGACCCCCTATGTAAGGATACAGCTAATAATGGTTCTGTCCGGATTGGAAGAGGAACAGACACACCCACATATACCCAATAAGGTTTTTGTCCACCACAGCAGGGAAGACCGTACTTTGCCCAGAGCTGTCTCCGAGATTTATAGAATGATGGCTTGGTAAGTATACTGACTGCAGCCAAGTTTGAAGGCAATGAAGGTAGAGTCTTGAGAATGAGGTGATGTAGGTGCACAAGGGCATAAGACTTAGGTGAGACAGATATATATTGATTGGTACTCAAGGGTTGCTTGTTGTGACACGAGCTTTGAGATTGTTTGTGGCCTAGAACCCTGGCCTTGGTGCTCTTTTGGTGATAGAAATTAATGTTGCCCTGATGAAGTCCAGAGATTGTATAGAGAACAACAGATTTTTTCAGTATTTATGATGACTTGCAGTTTGGAGAGGAGATGCAGAATCACTGAAATTGATGCATAGGCTTCCTGGTGGGACTTGGCAACAGGGAGCCAGTTATCGCAGTAGGGGAAGACAATGAGACCACAATGTCTGACATGGGCTGCCAGTACCAAGGATATCTAGGTAAAGACTCTGGGGGTGGTCACTATTCTGAAGGGGAATACTGTGTATTGAAAATGGCGAGAGCCTACTATGAAGCTGAGAAAGCACTCGTGGGCAGGATGAATATCTATGTGAAAGTAGTCATTTTTCATAGTGAGAGCAGTGAACCACATGCCTTTTTCTAAAGATGGAATTTGGGTGGTGGAAGCCACATAACTGAAGAGTGGTGCATTCAATGATTCAGTCTCCTGATGAGGAGATGGTTGATTCCGGTTCTAGTGTTGGTGTTTTTGGAAGGGAGATATATTCTGAGTATAGGTGATAAGACAGTCCTAACTTAATGAAGGCTGTTTATCTCTGTTAAGGGTGGTGCTTGAGGCAAGGGGGTGGTATATAGGACATAAGTTGAGGCAACCAGGCATGTCCATACCAGCAAAAAGGCAGTTGTGGAATTCTCTCTCATGAGAGACCTATTCTCCTCAGAGACCTCTGGCAAAGAGCCTCTATAGGGATGGAGAAGAGAGCCTTGTACAGATAGAGGGATTTACACACTGTAAGCACAGGAGCACTTGCCAATTAGAGAAAAGGAACTGAATTTCAGATGGGGAAGCACTCTTGTCCTTTTGGGTTAAGATTTCAAATATAAGAGTGGTCACGAAGGAGGAGTTGTACTGCATGACATAAGTGATCATGGATGGGAGTCCAGTAACATTGGAATAAATGTCCATATAGAATTTCAAGGACAAAGGATGGAGATGAGACTAGACTCGCCCACTTTCTTCTAGCAGACCTTGTCCTGCACTTTTCTTTAGTAATGAATTTGCCTATTTATAGTGTCAATTTAACAATTAACAGGGCATGCTGTGGGAAGTGGGGAAATCAGAAAGGGAGGCAGACAGAATTTGCTTATGGCCGTGAAGGCTTTAGTTTTGAAAATATAATTTGCATAGTAAATTCATAGTACTGGAATTTAATGTGACTCTGTACGTTTTAACTGGCATTTTATTTTACAAACTAAGCTATTTCAAGTTTTGTATCAGACATTTCATTTAACTTTTGTTTTTAAACTCCTTACATTCATATTTTTGGAAACACAAAAACAAACATTTGAATGCATTTCATTTGTGGTGTTAGAGCAATGCTTTACATGTTTATTTTACATCTGTTCAATTGTTTTGATATAGATTACTTAAATTTAACACTTTACCAAATGAAGTACATAGGTCATACATATTATTTACAGCATACAAAGATAACAATGCATGTGTCTTAAAATAGATAATGCTGTATTGAGAACGGTACATATTGGAAATAGCATAGCCATAACCCACCACTTGTATTTGTGATAAATATTTCCCCAGTGGTAGATAAGAGGGATATAATCCTTTTATCAGAGGATCCTACAATCTATGTGTGTGTTTAGAAATGTGCAAATAAAGAGTGGGAGAAAAGAGTCTGTTCTAGACTTAGGACCCAATTCAGCAAACACTAGTTTTATGAACACACTTTGGTGCTTTCATGAATCAGGAGCTAAAATCTCAGCTTCCTTTTTTAGGTCTCACTCCTTTATGAATGTAGAGCATTTGGTTTTAACCATTATGCAATAATTCATATAATTCTTTTTCTTAAACTATTAGACTGAATTGCAATTTCCTCTAAGACAGACCAGAGATCAGCCAATATGATTAGTTCTCAAGAGACTAAACTTCAGCTTTAATCAATCGCTCTTACTATAACAACTGAACACAATTTTTTAATCTCTTCTTCAGCAAAACAGCGGGCTTAAAATACACACTGCCAATGTAACAGACAATGTTGGACATACATTATGCAGATTCTTTCTAAAAAAGGAAAATGTTGAGGCCTTAATTATGAAGTTGCAAATAAAAAAAAAAAAAAAAACCACCACACTGCCACAGGAGAAAAAACCCAGAACCTCTCCATTCCATTTTATTTTTCTCTCTCCATTATTCCCAGAACTTGAACGATGCTATTTATGATGGGGATGATGAATTCTATATGCTGAGGTTACTATTAAACCAAAGCAGCCATTTAAACTTTAGCACCATTCAAACTATATGGGAAAGAATCAATTTTTACCTAGTCAGAAAGGAAAAGTTGATAGAAAAAGACCCTTTCTATCTTTTCAGAGGGCAAAAGCAAGGGAGAGAAAAGTTAGTACACTGTCAAAAATTGTTCTCTATGTGAATGTGTTCAGGTTTTATATTGAAACAGTCTGAGATGTTGTTAAAAAAAGTTGTCAACGGTAGACCCAAAGTTTAGGTTTATAGAAGGCAAGATTTGAGAAGACAGGGTTTCATTTTTTTTCAAACAAGTCATTTATGTAGTTTTTAGTTTCATTTAAACATTTCCCACCACGTTTCTATAATTAGAGAGTGACAAATCAATCCATTTTCATTGTCCTATCTGGGATAAATAGAGAAACATTAGACAGGATGTTCATTCAGTTTTAATAATGCAAGATGTTATTCAATAACCCAGGTAAAGAAGTTGGTGTTTGGAAATATTTTAAAGTAATAGTTTCACTTTAGTGTGCAATTAGCCTATAAAGAAGGAAGGGAAATAAGAATGATTTCATGTCTTCCATTACAATAAGATAAAATATTCAGATAGGGAAACATCTAAGCAGCATGTAAAAAATCTGTACATGCAAAGATACTTGGCAATTTCAAAAGCAGCTATGAATAAACTGATAAAGTAGGGCTTGTTTAATTTCTTCCATCTGCAGAAGTCTATTGAGTGTAATCGCTAAGCTTTTTGGTGCATTTATATTAGCAAAAACATTTCTCACTCTTTGCATATGTATGACAATTGTATTTCTATTATAATTTACAAAAATGGTTTCTGCACAGTCTTACAAACATGATTTATTATTTTAGTACACAGGAAAATATATATCTCTGGCACTTAGTGTCCTCCACAGTACCTGTTTATTACAATACACAATAACACTTTTCAACATGTGCTTTTGAAAACCTTAGACTGATCAAAGTAATGTGGCTGATCTAAAAGCCACAACTTCGACAGCTCCCAAATGTTAAAAAAATGAGGAAAATCTGCCACTTTTTTTGTATAACAATCAACAGTTTATTAATGGACATGGTGAAATTTTAGCTATCCACCAAAAATGTGTAAAAAATTGCCATGAAAGTAAAAATAAATAAAGCTGTTTTAAAATCAATCTTGTTTTACATATCAGTTCAGAATGCAACATTAAAAACACAAAACTGTCATTAAAGTTTTAAAGTAATCTACTGATATTCAAATTACAACTTTTATGACAAATCTAATGAGAACTGAAACTGATTTGGTTTTAGGTTTAAAGACTTTCACATTCAAATACAGTGTCTTGTTTAGCACAATACTTTCTTTGACAGTGATGGGCAACTGATGACATATTGCTGTATTTTGACATAAGGCACTATGATATGAATATGCCATTCACTTGCCTTATGTCACATGTCTGTTGCTGACCAGTGACTTCTATCAAATACGAATGAAATAGGTTCAGAATACAGTGCATTTTAATGAAGGACATAGTCTTTCAGCAAATGTTTTGAAGACATTTTGAAATGCAAGCCTACATTTTTTACATAAGTTTTTTTTGTCATGCTGCTTTTTTGTGACATCACTGGGGGAAAATACAGACATTACCCATCACTACGCTTCAATACACATTCTCATAACCCTTCTTCTCATTTCTATTGCAGTCAGTCAGTGTTCTCGAGGCAAACTTGACCCAGAAACTTTGTTCAAGTTCTCCTAGAAAGCTTTATACATTCACAGCAGTCACTCAGTTTCATTCTCCTTTTGTTTGGCACCTGTTTAAAGAAAAAATAATAATCAGAGTTTTCAAGAACATGTGGTGTGCTTGCTCATACAGTACTTCCATGTATGAAAAAGCAGTTTGAAAAACACTGTATTGGAGCATATTTGGAATACTGCAACACTGACTCGCTAATTATGAGACTCTTAACAGTCAATACCATTTTGAAAAAGACATTTTAATATTAGTAAATAGGAACATGAGCAGAGACAGAGGAGGCATCTGGACCACCCCTGCTTGCTTATTTTTTGTTTTGTTTTTCAGTGGCATCCCTCAGCATAACAACCAAGTGCCATATGAGGCAAATATAAGACAAAAATCAAATGGTTTTTCTGAGATGAGTGCAAGAACCATGGCACAAGAGACTTTTGGTGCTTTTTTCCCCACCCTGAACTTGAGACTGAGCTGAAGAGGACTTAGACGCTATGGCTACATCTAGACTACATGGCTCCGTCGGCGGAGCCATGTAAAATAGTTTATTCGGCACAGTCAAAGAACCGAGGATTTAAATAATCCCTGCTTCATTAAAATAAAAATGGCTGCCGCGCTGTGCCGACGATCAGCTGATCCTGCACAGCGCGGCAGTCTAGACGCAGCCTCGTGAAACAAGGTTTACTGGCATGATCGACAAAGTCTTCGTCGACTGCGCCGTGTCTTGACTGCCGCATTGTGCTGGATCTGCTGATCGTCGGCACAGTGCAGCAGCTATTTTTATTTTTAATGAAGCAGGGATTATTTAAATCCCCGCTTCTTTGACTATGCCGAATAAACTATTTTACATGGCTCCGTTGACGGAGCCATGTAGTCTAGATGTAGCCTATCTGTATTATGCTGGTGCATCAGTACTTGAGGAAGAGCCTGATTAATGGGTGGTACAATTGTCCTAGAAGAACAACTGGTGACAGGGCTGGAAGACCATTCAGTATACTGGATTTCTTTTAGGCTCCTCATCTAAGTTTCTGGATTGCAGCATAAAGTGTTTTCTCTCCTCTACAGATCCATGGAGCCCGTTGTCCATGAGTTAAATGGGGATATAGCTGCACTCAAACTGAGACCCTATAGCATTCTCTAGCCAGCTACTTAAAGCTAATGGGTTGGAGTGTGTGCTGCATTTCCACTATTATTTTAGGTATGAGGGAAGTAAAATGTGCAAGGAAGCAAAACAGAGATTTGAAATTAAGAACTCTGAAGGCCCATGAGGTTGCTAGGAGCTACCCTGGAATGTTTGTTTGAATGTCAGCAGTTGGAAGACATATTAAAGTGACTGTTAAAAGTGTAGAGACTTGCTAGCTGTACGTGGTTTGGACCAGGTTTTCTGAAGTTGCCAAGAAAGGTTCATTAGGGATTAAAGAAGGTCTAGACTGCTGAGAGGGTTGCAGTGGGATCAGTCTGGAAGAACACTGGACTCCATGGCTTATGGAGAGAAAGCCTGACTTTTTGAGACTTCAAAGACCAGTGAGAATGTCCAGATGATTAGATCATTCATAGGTTTCAACTGTAAATAATACACTACAAGTTTGTGAATTCAATCTAGAGCGGACCCATGGTAATTTCTAGAGATCTTCAAAAAACACCACCACCACAAGTGGTGAGGGTTTTATACAACTTCTGATTTATGTGACAAGATATCTGTAAGCAGTTTTAATTAAACATACCACATTTTGATTCTATACTTCCTCATCTCAAAACATAAGCATCAATTTTTACCTAGAAACAAGATATATGAGCAGCAATCTCCACAATCAACAGCAATAGCATTCATGGACTGCTCTGTCCTAAACTCGATAGACAGTTTGATATAAGCTGGTATAACAGAGATAAATTATCCAGATTCACCTTTTCCTACAAACTTGAACATGGATATTAAGTTATTTTTCTAACAAAAATGGAAAGTACACTAGAAAATATGTTTTAACAGTTTGACATCAAAACAAAAAATAATAGTATTTGATATTTCAGACAAATATAATAGCATTTCTGGATCTGGGATTTTTGCTATAAGCTGGGGATTTATCTGTTGGAAGTGACAGAGGATAAGGGTGTATTAGTCATCCTGTGATCAACCATCAGTTGCCAATGTGATGCAGCCGTGAAAAAGGCTAATGCAATCTTAGGATACAGAAGGCAAGATATTTTTAAAGAGACAAGAAGTGCTAGTATTCCAGATGAGATGTATAATGGTACTGTGTAAAGTTCGGGTCTCCCATATTTAAGAACGATTAATATAAAACTGGAACAGGTGCAGATTATCAGAGAATGAAAAACCTACCTTATGAGAGAAGCATCAAGGTGTTTGGCCTAACCAAAGGATTGCTTTCTACAAATACATCACTGGGATAAAATACCAGGGAGGGAGAAGAGTTATTTAAATTAAGCATGAGTGTGGCCTCAAGAATGAATGGATAAAACTGGTCATTCAACAAATTTAGGCTTGAAATTAGATGAAAGTTTCTATCTATCAGAGGACTGAAATTCTGGAAGCCTTCCAAGGATAGCAGTGGGGGTAAAAAACGGGCTTCAAGACTGAGTTTGTTATGTTTATGGAGGGGATAGTATGATTAAATTGCTTACAATGGCATGTAGCCAATCTATGACTGCTAGCAGCAAATACCCCAGTGGCCAGTGATGGGGCACTAGATCAGGAGGGATTTGAGTTACTATAGAGAATTTCTTCCCAGGAATCTGGTTATTGGATCTTGCCAAAGTGCTCGAGGTCGACTTGATTACCATATCTGGTGACAGCAAGGAATTGTCCCCTTCCCCAAGTCAGAGTGGCAGAGACCCTGCAGAATAGGGAACAGGTCATGTGCAGGTTTAAATTAGTGTAAATGATGGATTTTATGCAACCTGAAGTCTTTAAATCATGATTTGAGGACTTCAATTACTCAGCCAAAGGTCATGGATCTATTAAAGGAGTGAGTGGACAAGGTTCCATAGCCTGCGGTCTGCAGGTCAAACTAGAGGATCTTGATTGTTCCTTCTTGACTACAGTCTATTATAGACATTAGCAACAAATCAAGAAGACTAAGAACAGCATACTAAGCTATACCCTACTGTACCTGAAAGGATATGGAAAGAGGTCAGAAGGCAGCATCTATACCTGCTGGTGTGAGCACCAAAGCTTGTAGAATGTCAGAGAGGGAGATGATACCCACAATGCTATCTGCTTCATTCACTACTACCAGACGATGAACCTGAAAGCACGGAAAATACATTTTATTGGACAGGCATTTTCTTTTTCTGATTTATAAATAATGGCAACAGTGAAACAAGAGTCCTAAAATAAAGTGCTGTAAGATGGGCAAATTTCTAGAATTAGAGGAAAGAAATTGTTCAAAACGATCAGTTTCTTGACTAACATTTTAATATGGTGGTATCACAATATGCTTAGGCCACTACTTAACGGAGCACACAGTTGTAATATCTGTGTGACATTGCAACAAAAATGATCTTGTCAAGTGATATCAATCAAGAAATAATTATTTTTTCAAAACTCAAGCCTTTAAGACTTAGCATAGCTCTGTTCTGAAAAGCAACTCTAAAGTATCATTGACTCATATTTGAAACCCACAATAATAGATGAATATATTTGGTAAGAGTTCAAGTACAAAGATAAGAACTTGACTTTAAAGAGAGATTTTTTCCAACGGCCAGTCCTTGCCAACTCAATCTGTTATCTTCTATTCACGAGCTGCATCCTTGCATGTGCAGAGTCATCAGGAAGAAGAGGTTTTGCATGTCATATTCTGCAGTCAGATTTATTCAAGCTCACTGTATTTAAGTTTTGTTCAGTTACACTTCTCTGTAATGGGATTGGACAGGTGAGACTGAGGGCCAAATCTGGTTCTAAAATTGGATCTGGAATAACAATTCTACTAATTTTGCGTGAAGCCTGAACAGATTTCATGTCATACACATGGTAGCACTGTAGAAATCACTCTCATAGGTGAATTAAGTAGCAAAGATGGGCAACCAGACCAAGTAGCTGCAACTCTGAAAATCCATAGATTTGTAAATAGCAAGGTGATATTTTATAGCCAGTCACTTTTCAGAGTAGAATTTTAAGACCAACAGAAATGTTTCGCATTTTTATTATATTTAACAGCAACATATATATTTAACAGCAAAAATATTCACCTTCTGAGTTTATAACCTAAGCATTGCAGCATTTATCAGGACCAGAAAAATGAACCTAATGAGAAACAAAGTGAAGCGAACTAATCATTTTGTTACAAGATGAGAGCAATATTGTTAACTTGTTGCACAAATAGTGAAATGTTCATTTAACAATTGAAGTGTGAATAATTTAACTGCAACATACGTTGTAAATGTGACAAAAACTTAAAGGGTATGTCTAGACTGCATCCCTCTGTTGGCAGAGGGATGCAGATTAGGCAGGTCGACATTGCAAATGAGGCAGGGATTTAAATATCCTGCTCCTAATTTGCATAAAATGGCCACTGCGTTTTGCCGACTCGGCACTTTGTCGGCAAAAAGTGGCAGTCTAGAGGGTGATCTGTCGGGAAAGAAAGCCTTTTTCAACAGATCCTGTAAACCTCCTTGCAGGAGGCATAAGGGATCTGCTGAAAAAGGCTTTCTTTCTTGACAGATCCCCTTCTAGACTGCTGCTTTTTGCCGACAAAGTGCCGAGTCAGCAAAACGCGGCGGCCATTTTTATGCAAATTAGGTGCAGGATATTTAAATCCCTGCCTCATTTGCAATGTCGACCTGCCTAATCTGCATCCCTCTGCCGACAGAAGGATACAGTCTAGACATACCCCAAGAGTAAGAGTTGATAATCTACTTGAGTATGAAATGTAGATATCTAACAGCTGAATACTCTTAAGCACTTTTCTTAAGGTTCAACATTTAACTATTTCTTCTTTCCCCCGCCCCCATCACTACAAATCAGTTTTCTGTAAGACATCAGTTTTTTTCATGGGAAAGATGTCCAAATGAGTAAAAATGTAAATATTGAGATTACTGCTTCCAGCACTGTATTTCAATGAGAACTGGCATTATTCTCTCTCAAAGATTAAAAGGGGAGGGGGGGGGGGAAAATGACAGATACAGGTAATAACTTTGCAAGTCTGTTTTTTGTACTTAACTTTCCTGTTTCTTTTATTAACACCTTGGAATCCCCTTAAGTGCTAGGTAATCAAATTTCTTAAGTGCTAGTACGTGCAAAGAAGAAACTTCATCACCCTCACCAAGGGAATAACAGCATGAAAGCAGCATCTCTGGTTTGATTAAAGTAACTGCACGTTAAATTTAGGACTGAGGTTAGCTACATACCAGTCAGGATACCTTAGAGCTCCTCTTCTCTTGTATTTGAACAGTCATACCCACCTGATACAAATGGGGAACACAGGAAAGAAATAGAAAAAAAGGGGGAAAATTCTGTTTTTATATTTTTTTTCTTCTAATGAAATTGTGCTGGTGATATTCCAGACACAGATATTAGTTTTCTGTATATTACACACATTTAATCACTTGGTCATCTTTCTCACATTGTGTCGTGAGTTCCATTAAGAAAAGCTATTAGTATATCAATTAAACACCTACCAGTATGAGTAAGCATTCTTGTTTAGCAGCCAAAAAGATTAATTTAGTACTATACTGGAAATTTTTATAGTAAAAAAAAAAAAATAATAAAAAAAAAAAAGTAGTTTACATACAAGACACAAACTAATCCCTCCAGCCAATGGACAGTTTGTAACATAATTGGGAAACAGGGCCAGATTTCTAGAATATTTTTGGCCATCTACTTAAAGCTAACTCATTGAGAAATATTTCATATCCGTGTATTTAGAGTGTATCCACTTATATAGAAAAATGTCATTCATTATACAATGTGCACAAAAATACATACATTTTTCCTATTAGATGTTAAGTGAATGTTTGAAGTTTTGTGACCTGAACTATACTGCAGCTATCAAGTGGCAAGTCTCAAGAAGCAGGTTCCTCTTGTGAAAGTGATTTTTCTTCTCAGTGAGCTGTAACCTGGTAAAACAAAGGTTAATGAGGAAGGGTCAGGCAGGCAGGCCAAGATGGGCCACATCCTTGTGTGACATGCTGTCTAATCACGCCTGTTGTATTTCTGCATTAATGGTTGGCTTTTTAAGTGTTCTTTAGGGTATATGAACATTCCATAAAGCTTGTGAACAAAGGTGAGTCCATTGAGGAACACAATGTAATTCTTACAGACTGAGACAAGATAACTATGGCCTTACCAGTGCTTACCTTGCACCCCTCCCCGCCCGCCCTAGGGCAGGAATCATTTTTGAAAATGTTGTAATGGATCTCAAAAGATATTAAGAGAAAGTCAGACATAATATGGGTCATTCTGGACACACTGTAGTACAAACTACAAGCTTTAGTTGGGACAGGAAAAGCTAGGGGATAGGGAACCGTCTGTTGATTCAGTTCTAATGGAAAACTGAGGAACTGATACAAGTATTGACTACCTTGTAAATTAGTGAAAATTTAAATAAATGTAAAATTGGGTTCCCTGAAAATGAAAAATCTTGGATGTAGAAACTGAAATAATACATTTTAACTGACTCATGAAGATGACTGAAATGGGTAATTTTGATTTTCTGTAATGGGCTCGATAGGTGGACACCTCTCTATTGCTCCCTTATGTCTACTAAGACCAGAGAAGGAAGACTGAGGATAACAGCATCCAAACATTGGTAGGTACAGTTACAGGCTACGTCTACACTGTAAAGTTTTTGCGCAAAAACCTGAGGAGCATCCACATCTCAAATGCACTTTTGCATAAGTAAATCAGCAGTAAAACAGCAGAACACAGGGCTTTTTGCTGTGTAGGTAAACCTCCTTTTATAAGGCATAACACCTTTTTGCACTACAGCTGTTGTGCAAAAAGGCATGTGTGGACTCTCCACAGGGGTTTTTTGTGCAAATAGAGCCTATCGGAAAAAGCACAGGTGCTCTGATGGCCATTCTGTGAATGGCCATCAGAGCTTTCTTGCACAAGAGCATCCATACAGTGTAGATGCTCTCTTGCGCAAAAGCGAATCACCAAAGTGATATGTTTTGAGGTGTGGATGTGCTTTTGTGCAAAAAGGTTTTGCACAAGAACTCTTCCGCAAAAGACTTCTTGTGCAAAAACCCTGCAATGTAGATGTAGCCACAGTGAAAGCGACTGAGATTTCATAACATCTGTTTCTCTGGTCAGTCAAGTAACACCACGTGGCAGACTCAGTAGGAAACAGATGTTTATCATAACTAAACATCTGGAATGTATGAGACAGTAATTTTAATGTAATGTATTTGTCATTTGAATGTACACATATCCTTATGCTTTAAGAATGCCTGTTGAAGTTTGCCTAACTGTAAACCAGGGGTGCTGGAAATCTGTGTGAAGCGTTTCCATCCTTAAAAGATATCCAAGATTTAAAAAAATCTGCCAGGATGTTTTACACAGCATTTAAAGATTTAATTTCAAAAGTTAAATGTGTAGTCCTTTGCTTTTTTAATTTTAAAATCTTATTTTTACAAAAAGCCGTACTATCTTCTTTTGTCTAGAAAAGAAATAATTGTAAGATATACTGCTCTATCCATCTCAATGTAGTGATTGCTCTGCAGTTTATAGAATTCACAGTTACCTCTTTCACTTATACTCATCTAGTCATTTGGACAGTGAATTAATCTGAAAAGACACTCCACAAAAGTTTTAAAAGATGCCAATAATATTCTATCATATTTCTTCCTCATCAAGTCAGCTAAGAGTGACCAATCCCCCAGTTTATCTGCAGTCTTATTTTCTGGGAGTACCCTAATCTGCCAACAGAATATATTGAAACTTTGGTTAACACTAGGGATGTAAAAAATGTTTAAAAAATATCGATCATGTAACAGATGGAAATTCCATCGGTTACACAGGCTCTAGAATCCTAGGGATGGCCACCACTAGCTCCAAGCAGCCCATCCGTGCTCCCTAGCAAAGTTCAAACGGTAACAGAAATCAATACACATCAGTTTATAGGTTAATTTAAACTCTTACATCCCTAGTTAAGATTCAATTATAGTATGCTCACTAGCTGTCTGGTCTGATAGTTTTGCCATAATTTTTAGTTCCTAATACTTCCAGTGCCTCCCTCACAGTATCTTAGATGCACAGATTGCAAGGTCAGAAAGGACCACTGTGATCATGTGTAGACTGACCTCTGATATCACAGGCCATAGAACTTCCTAAAAATTCCTAAAACAGATCTTTTAGAAAAATCCAATCTTGATTTAAAAATTGATAGTGATGAATTCACCACAACCACCAGTAAATTGTTCCAATGGTCAGGACTTGCCGAACTGCGGTGAGCCCTGCTTGCCAGCCGCGCTGTCCAGTGATCTGCGCATATGCAGATCATTCTGCGCATCTGCAGATCGCCCGAACCTGGCTCTTCTGGGTTGCAATCTACTCGCCACGGGTGAGTAGACTGCATTATCTGTCGAGCCCTGCCAATGGTTAATTACCTTCTCTGCTAAAAAATTATGTCTCATTTCCAGTCCGAATTAGGCTTTCTTCAGCTGCAAGCCAGTGTATCAGATTATGCCTTTCTCTGCTAGACTGAAGAGCCCGTTATCAGAGATTTGTTCACCATGTAGATACTTGTAAGAAATGTTTTCTATCCTTTAATTTCCAGGGCCAGGGGAGATTCACATTTATGCACCCCAGGATAACAAAAGCTCTTCTGGCCACAACAATGCATTGGGAGTTCAGGGTCAGATGACCCCAAATGTTTTACAGTTCCCCATCTAGTAAATTGGCCTACAAGCTTTGTGTACACATTTACATTTGATGTACACATTTAGCCATATTAAAATGTATATTGCTTACTTGTGCCCAGCTTTTCAAGCAATCCAGATCACTCAGTGTCAGTGATCTGTTCTCTTCATTATTTACCACTCCTCCAATCTGTGTCATCAGGAAACAGAGATTTTGTTTTTCTTTTAGGTCACTGATAAAAATGTTAGATAGCATGGGTCCACTAAAAAAAACACCTCTCGATGATTCCACATTTACAATTATATTTTGAGACTGATCAGCCAATTTTAAAATCCACTGAATGTATACCATATAAATTCAGTATTATTCTAGTTTCTTAACCAAAATGGCACAAGGTACTAATTCAAATGCCTTACAGAAATCTGAGCATGTTACATCCACACTATTATGGTTATAAGACAAGCTGGTAATCTCATGAAAAATATGAAGTTAGTGTGACAGCAGGATTTATTTTCCATAAACCTATGTTGATTGGCATTAATTATATTACCCTACTTTAACTGACTATTATTTAGCTTTAAATTATACAATACACACTCTCATTCTTACAGCTGCACAAAAAGGTATGCCATCTTTGCACAGACCTTCATACATTTGAATGGTTTTGAACCTTAGGTTACTTCTGAAAAATATGCACTCTCAAAACCACAGCTTGTCAGCTGCAAAGCATTAAGCATCCATGGTGAAGTTTTCAGGACTGGACATTGGTTGCAAAGTGCGTTCCAAAAAACAGCTCCTCTCTTGAATAACATTATTTTTGAAGGATTCTTCCACTGTCCACTGACATCAAGCACAAAATATAGCAGTGTGGCATAGTGGAGATACAAGTTACAAAAAAAATCTTGCAATTCCCCCAACACCTGCCAAATCCTCAATGGCGTCATACTGATTTCACCAAGTTCACTTGCAAATTACCAGTGGCCTTATTGATAAAGCTAATGATTCAAAGCTCTGATATCCACACATGCTAATGTAAAAAGCAACATCTGCAATGAACGACCAAAATTACTTTGAATTTTGATAAAAGAATGCTTATGCAGTATTTGGTACCTTGTTGTCTTATTGCTTTAAAATACTGAAGTGAACAAAGTGATCTCACCTCAGCCTTCACTATTCTATCAACAATGGTCTCCAGTGTTTCCAGCTTACTGCACTTCACAACACCTTCAAAATACTGAGAACGGTGCTGGAGGGCTTGTGTTACTGTGATATCTAGATTATTATAGGTTTTTTCAGCAGCAAGATTCTGAAAAAATAAATTAGAGGAATCATTATTAGTTTTTACAAGAAGAAGGTAGATATATGTCATTAAACTAACAATGCAAAAATCAAGTTTAATCTTTGGTGTACATTGATAGCTAGTCCACTTTGTATATTAAGCAAAGTAAAACCAAGTCCTTCAACTTATAAACACAGCCAAGTAAACACTTCTGTTAAACACCCCAAAACAGATGTGACAACAATTAATACACAATTGTGCACTAGGCCAATGAAGAACTGGCTCCCTTTGCTGAATGATCTTTGGGTAGGAGATACTTTTGTATAAGGGACAGAAAATTTGAAGGTCAACTGTCGTTCTAGAAATTTAAGAGACATCAGCAATAAAGAGAAACTTCACTACCATATTAGTAGCTATTTCTCATGAAGGAGCACATCCATTGCTATGAGCATTATTCATGACTTAGACCTGATCAGTATGCCACAAAGGGGGCATCTTAGGCTTCATCCCCTTACCCACCATCTTTTTCCCTGCTTGTGCTCACATGTACTCTGCTAGACTTTTCTGCCACCAATTAACTTCTGTCGCTGAAAATATATGAATTAGATAGAACATATCACTAGTACCACAACTGAAGTATGAGGGTTAAAAGAATTGCAGATGACATCTACAGTCTAGAGCAGGACTACTTCCCTATTCATAGAGTTTTGCCCAGACTACTGGGTCCCCTCTATTGAGAAAAGTTACAGATAAGGAACTTAACAGTATTTCCCTTTCATAACTAGGTATCCACCAGGTTGGCTATTACTCATGGGAATTACAAGCTGCACATGATTACTTTTTGTAATCTTAAATTGTGATGGCTTTGTTTAGATCTGGCGGAGCACCAAACAGTATTAGTGTACCAGTCTTGTACAAATGGCAGTATTACATACACTGTACAAAACTGTACACTTCTCAGCACAAAACTTTGGAGGAATCCCTTTATAGAAAGTATTTTAAATGGAAGGCAGTTGCGGCATGCACTTGAAGACTTTCAAAACCGTGCCACAAAGAAAAAAAATCAGGATAGTTTCTTCATTCTTTGGTCTTGTACAGACAGACGAATGTCAATTTCATTACTAAATCATGATGCTATTTGTTCCTAACAATATTTGTGTTTAAACAAAATAGAGAAAAACAATGGTTTAAATGGAATTAGTTGTTGACTGTGCACAGAGTCAAGACCTACTTTGTATGTCTTTTTTTTTTAAAGATGGTTTAAACTGACAGAGCTCCTAATTCACTTTCTCTCCTAGTTTAAATATTTGCTACGAGAAAAAGGAGATAAAACAAGTATGAGGCTTCCACTGGAAGCTTAGGAAGGTTTTCTTGAGGATTTGCAGAACCATGCTTACCACTGGGTATCTCTTGTGTGACATCTATGGTGGCAAGAGTTGGTGATGAGTGCAAGAGAAACGAAGTTTACTTACCTTGTGCAGTAACTGGAGCTCTGGGTAAGTTTACCGATTTGTTTATGTGGAAGAGGATGCGATCTTGGGCAAATACTTTGGGTGAATGCAAAGAGTAACCTTGTCTGTGTGAAATATCGTGAAGGGTAGATCGGCCATAAGTGCAGCCAAGTCCCCAATGCAACGAGCTGATGTGATGGCAACCAGAAAGACGACTTTCATAGAGAGGTGTGAAAATGAGCAGGAAGCAAGAGGCTCAAAGGGTGGTCTGGTTAGGACTCGTAACACTAAACCAAAGTCCCACGGAGGTACAAGCGGTGTGACATCCAGATGGAGGAGGAGCACCTCTTCAAGAATCTCTTGGTTGTTGGAGTATAAAAAAGGACTATCCATCAATTTTGTGGTGGAAGGCTGCTAAGTGTACTCTGATGGAACTGAGCGAAAGCAACGCTTGTTTGAGAAAAAGAAGGTAGTCCAAGATGAATGACAGGGACACTGATACTGGGTCCTGCCCTTTCATGATACACTATGCTGAGAAGTGCTTTCACTTGTAGATGTAAGATGCACAATCCTTGTAATTAGATGGAATCCTTATAATTAGGGATAAGGATCGGGAATATGCTTTCTGAAAATTCTAGCTCAGAACATAAGAGCCATGCTGTTAGGTGCAGCTTGCACAGGTCTGGGTAGGTTTGTGTTGGCTGACCCAGAGTGATGAGATCATGACTGAGAGGAAGTATGATTGGAGTGAGGACTGACATTCTGAGCAGGAAGGGATACCATGACTGTCTCAGCCAGATGGGGGAGCTATCAATGATTCTGGCCTTGCTTGTCCTGATCTTTTGAACAACCTTAGCCAGAAGCAATATCAGCAGAAAAAGGGTAGCAAAGCTCGTATTTCCATGGAATGAAAAAGGCATCTCTGAGCACTCCCTTCTCAATGCCCAATCTGGTGCAACTATGTTTGCATTTGGCATTGAAAGGTGTTGTGAACAGGTCTATTTTGGACAACCCCATCTGTGGAACAGAAGGCGAACCACGGAAGCATTAAGCACCCATTCATGGTGCTGGGGAAGGTGTCTGCTGAGAACAGCCAACATCACATTGTTGATGTACCCCCCAGACTTCTTTCAAGTACCTCTGAGGGTACTCGTACCACTGGTTGAGAAACAATGATGCAGACCACCAGATACCACCAATACATAAACACTTGTAATCCAGAAAAAATACTGTACAAAGTGAATTGAAGTGGTGTTTTAGCTAGTTCATCAGATTAAAAATCATGGAATAGCTGAAGCAAACAATTGAAGGACTGCATTTTCAAAAGATACACTTAAAAACATTTTACAAAATTTAAAAGATACTTACTATTACATCAAATTTGGAATAAATATCTACAACTTTTCCTGAAAATGAAAAAAAAGTTAGTAAACGGTTTTAAAAACACAGAAAAAGTTAATTTCCTTGAATCCTAGTTTCATCAATTATAATAAGGAAAAAATTCAATTCAAGAGTGAACAAAAAAACTTTTTACATGTTACACAGTGGATATCTGGTTAATCGAACCATGCAGTGCGCATGATATGAGATCTTCTGGGCTTGTTAACCTAGATTTTTCATTTGTTTATTTTTTGTTTCTCACTTTTTTTTTTACGAGAAAGTGGCAGAATGGTATAGAGACAGATTTAGGGCTGATTTCTGCATAATGATACAAAATAGCAAATTCAGGATTAAACATGGTATCATTCCCCCTTACTATATTCTTGTACAGCTTAATGCACACCTGACTCATCCACAACTGGTAATGCAGATATTCTTCTGTCTACAAATATGTTCAAGGCTTTAATAATAGGAGTGTCTGGATGTATGAAGGCAATGTTGTCATAAGTTCCTATCCCAAGATCATCCAGGTTCTTCTTCATAAAGGCAGGCTTTGGCATCTCTGACACCTAAGAGAGTTAAAAATACAATCATGCACAAATCATGGTGGTTTTTCTATCACTGATATTTTTAAAATCAAGATTAAGTGTTTTTCTAAAAAACAGATATACTCCAGGAATTATTTTGAGTGAGTTCTATGTCCCGTATTATACAGGAGCTAGGATTAGATGTCCAGAGTGGTCCTTCTGGACTAGAAATCTATTTGTGGGTTTACAATGCAGTTTTCTTAAAGTACTTGCACATGTCCATTCCAATGCAGGCGTGTGTGCTCCAAGCACAGCTGCTGGAATTTTTTCCTTTAGTGAAGTGGCCCGCAACCTTTTTATACCTAATATCACTTTTGGAATTTAAAGGCAATCCAAGCTCTACCCTGCCCCTTTCTAATGACCCCTCCCCTTTCCCAAAGCTCCATTCCCTGCACCCCCAATCTCCATCACTGGCTCTGCCCTATCCTTGCTTACCTCTGGGCAGCTCCAAATTGGCAGTGCAGTGGTGCTTTGGCCCCAACTAGATACATATGTCTACACGGGGCTGCATGACCCCAGACAGGAGATGTATCCACGCTGGGGACAGTATAGCCTCATGGCTAGGAGAAGCTGCCGGTGCAAGGCACTGGCGTCTGGGAGCAGCGGCACTATGCTCCCTTCCTTTGGCTGCAGTGTCTCCTGAGAGCACAGCAATGCGGAGCAGAGGATACCAATGTCTATCCATGGTAAACATTTGTATCCACACAGGGTTCATCCCCTGGGACACCAAGAGTAGGGAGGGAGGAGACACGTGGCTCTGCGCATTGCCCCTCTCTGCTGGAACTGCCCCTTTCAGCTCCCATTGGCTAGTTACCCATTAGGGACGTAAAATCCTGTTTAAAACGTTAACTGGTTAAACTACATGTTTAACTAGTTAACTGGTCCACTGCGTTGTGCCTTGGGCCTACCGCACTGCACTCCAGGTGAGGGTCTGCTCTGGCCTGGCCAGAGTGCCCCCTGCCTGCGTGCAGCATGATGGGCCCAGCCAGGCTGGAGCAGGCCCTCACACCACACTGCTGGTGGGAGCTGCTCCAGCAGAGCACTGGTTATAAGGATGTTAAATATCGAGTAAATGACTATCAAGTGCACGATTAGTCCATAAGGGGTAGCCCAGCTCCTACTCTGTTTAAACTGCAGAGCCACAGCAGTATATCCAGATTGCTGTGCCTGTCTCCCCTGCACCTCCCCCCCCACTGCAACGTGAAGACGGTGCTGGGGAGAACTGGCTTTTAAGCCAGCTCCCCCTAACGCCGGCTCCTGCTCCTCTCCCCTTGCTGCCTCTAATACAGAGGCAGCGGGGGGGGGGGTAGTCGACTATTCTACACTTTTGCATCCCTAGCCAGTTAACCAGTAAAAGTAATGCTTACGGGGTAATCGGTTACCTGTTTACATCTGTTTCCCATGCCAAGCATATGGGAGCTGCAGGGGGAGGGAGTGGGGGGGCAGCAGGCGCAGGACTGGCACGGGGCACCATGCTCTGCAGCAGGACCTGCAGGTTTGTGCTCAGCCCTCGGACCTCAGCCAAGACTCCTGCTCCTCTCCCTATGCCCCAGAACACCACACACATGGGTTGCACTGGCCACTCCTGGGAATGGGCCGATGGCGTGGGGCTGGGGTAGGCAAGTGGTATCTGGCAGGTCAGCTCTTGTGCTTCCTGGTACTATGCACTCTCAATGCCAGTATTAAGAGCCTGCTGAGACCGTGCCTTCTCAGTTCGGTTACAACCAATGACAGTTGCTAGAACTGCTTTGTTGGTGGTTCACAATGGTTTTTGATATTTTTTAGCATAAAACTTTTTTTCTTAAGTTAGATTTTTCCCTCCAGTTATATTAATGTTGGCCCTTTTCCTGATCAGTTAGAGAAGTTTGTCCACCTTGAGGTGCTGGGGCATGCCTTGGTCAAGCCTGATGCTTCCTGCAGCTTCCTCAACCGACAGAGTTATCTCAAGTGAGTAGGAGAGAGGTGCAGAGGAGGACTGCTGTCAGATCTGAAAGGACTTCAAACCTTGTGCAAAATGGACGGGCTGCCTCATGAAGCCAGCTTGAAACCCGCTTTAGAGCACAGTTGCTCAAACTCAGTGCTGAGTGCCTCAGTGTTGTTGAGGAGTAATTCTCCCACCAGGCAGGAGTTTCAGCACCAGTCCCCAGCTCTGGTGCCTAAGAAGAAAAACCAAGAAGCAGCCAGAGGGTATGTCTACACTACAGCACTAATTCGAACTAACTTAGTTCGAATTAGTTAATTCGAACTAAGCTAATTCGAATTAGCGCAGCTAGACTTAAAAACTAGTTCGAATTAGCATTTTGCTAATTCGAACTAGCATGTTCACACTGAGTGGACCCTGAACTGAGGTTAAGGCTGGCCGGAAACAGTGCCGGCAAGGCATCAGATGAGGACTTAGAGCGTGGAGCTGCTGTCTCAGGCTAGCTGAGGACTGTGCTTAAAGGGACCCGACCCCCACCCCGGACAGACAGTTCTCAGGGGTTCCCTGCTTGCAAAGCAGTCCTGGCTTGGAGTGCCCTGAGTGCCCACACTCGGCACATCACAGCACTTGGCCATCAGCCCGGCTGCACTTGCCGCAGGCTGCCATCCGGGGGGGGTTAATCAGGAGGCTGCAGAAGAGCTTCCACACCGAGGAACCCACAGAGACACCCCAGTCCTCCCCATCGGGGGCTCGTACCCCATTCCTCCCTCACCTCCTTCCACTTACCCCTCCCTAGCCCCCCTTCCTGATGTACAAAATAAAGGACACATGTGTTCAAAAATAGAAACTCTATTTATTGAACAAAACTTGGGGAGACTGGGAAAAGGAGGTGGGAGAGGGGAAGAGAGAGGGTGGGAGAGGGGAGGGCAACTAAAATGATCAGGGGTTTGGAACAGGTCCCATATGAAAAGAGGCTAAAGAGACTGGGACTTCTCAGCTTAGAAAAGAGGAGACTGAGGGGGGATATGAGAAACGAATGGGTAGCAGGCTTTAAACTAATAACAGAAAGTTGTTCTTCACAAAGCAAATAGTCAACCTGTGGAACTCCTTGCTGCAGGAGGCTGTGAAGGCTAGAACTAGAACAGAGTTTAAAGAAAAGTTAGATAAAGTGATGGAGGTTGGGTCCATGGAGCAGTATTAGCCAGGGGGTAGAAATGGTGTCCCTGGCCTCTGTTTGTGGAAGGCTGGAGATGGATGGCACGAGACAAATGGCTTGGTCATTGT